ATATGCTCCTGTGTGATGGTAGGTTTGGTTTTGTTCACAAATGCAGGGGCTTTGCTTTAAATGGCTTTGGGTGGACAGGGGAGGGCTGCTACAGCTGGGGTGTCAGCTGGTGCAGCACAGAATCGGAACAGGGTCATGGATATCTGAAGCCACTCATGGTTCTATGTGGCTATGGTGTCATTTAGGTAGACGCTTACGGGATGATTTGGGACTACCATGCTATGAAATCCATGGAAATTCTGTATTAATACTGAATTCTATTTGTATTTGTCAAGCATACTCTGGATGCTTTTTTTTTTTTTTGAGACGGAGTTTCGCTCTTGTTACCCAGGCTGGAGTTCAATGGCGCGATCTCGGCTCACCGCAACCTCCGCCTCCTGGGTTCAGGCAATTCTCCTGCCTCAGCCTCCTGAGTAGCTGGGATTACAGGCACGCGCCACCATGCCCAGCTGATTTTTTGTATTTTTAGTAGAGACGGGGTTTCACCATGTCGACCAGGATGGTCTCGAACTCTCGACCTTGTGATCCATCCGCCTCGGCCTCCCAAAGTGCTGGGATTACAGGCTTGAGTCACCGCGCCCGGCAACACTCTGGATGCTTATTCACATTTTGGTGTAAGATCAGAACTGAAGGCCCAATATGATATGTTACTTTGACATCTTTTGATAGTGGGACAACCTTAAAAGGTGTGATTGCAAACCTCATTCCCACTCTTCTCTCTAATTTATCCTAGCCTAGCAAACCTTTTGATCTAGGTGATGAGGCAGGGTTCCATGTTGTTATACGTTGTAGTGGGATTTAATTCCGTCCTTACAACCAGAGTTATGGAAACAAACCATTTGCATACTCCCAAGAGAATCATGGACCATTATACCCTCTTCATCTTACAAAGTAATTTTATTTGTGGGGGCTGGGCATGGTGACCATGCTTATAATCTCAGCATTGTGTGAGGCCAAGGCAGGTGGATCACTTGAAGTGAGGAGTTGAAGAGCAGCCTGGCCAACATGGTGAAACCTCGTCTCTACTAAAAAAAATACAAAAATTAGGACAGCTGTAGTCCTGGCGGCTACTTGAAAGGCTGAGGCACAAGAATCACTTGAAACTGGGAGGCAGAGGCTGCAGTGAGCCAAGGTCATGCCACTGCACTCCAGCCTGGGTGACAGAGCTAAACTATGTTTCATTAAAGAAAACAAAAAACAAACTTTTATTTGTGGGGATTCCAGAGAGTGGCTGATGGTGGAGGAAACTCAGGTGGGGGTGGCCATGGGCATGTGTCTGTGCAGTATAAAGGATGATGTATATTTAGAGAGTGAATTTGTCTGATGGACCCAGGCAGCTGCCCTGGGCTTTACATGAGCTTGGATATTGCTATTCGAAAGGGAGTGGACCTTTTTATGTCAGGACCACAGCCTCGATACCTATTTGTCCACCTAATTCTGTTTTCTTTTTCTTTTTTTTTTTTTTTTTGAGATAGAGTCTCACTCTGTCGCCAGGCTGAAATGCACTGATGTGATATTGGCTCACTGCAACCTCCACCTCCCAGGTTCAAGCGATTCTCCTGCCTCAGCCTCTTGAGTAACTGGGACTGCAGGCATGCACCACCATACCCAGCTAATTTTTAAAGTATTTTTAGTAGAGATGGGATTTCACCAGGTTGGTCAGGATGGTCTGGATCTCTTGACCTTGTGATCAGCCCACCTTGGTCTCCCAAAGTGCTGAATAACAGGCGTGAGCCACTGACCCCAGCCTTGTCTACCTACTTCATATTGCTGGTGGCTATACCAGTTGACCATTGCGCCCATGAACAGAAAAAGGCACCAGTAGACGTGGTTTCAGCATTATGTTGTGGACCCTGGGAGTAAGATGGGCAAGGGTGGATGTGTGGGAGAGGTGGATTGTGGTACCTCAGTATAGGGGTTGTTTGTTGTTTCATTTGTCACTATCATAGCAGGGCACTGTGACCTTTGAAGATGTGGCTGTGAACTTTTCCAAGGAGGAATGGTGTCTCCTTAGTGAGGCTCAGAGATGCTTGTACCGTGATGTGATGCTAGAGAACCTGGCACTTATATCCTCCCTGGGTAAGTTGCTCACACTGACCTTTGTGACCTGAGATAGTGTTTCATTTCGCTGGTTTTCATTGACAAGACTGTGTTTCTCACTTAAGGGGCCTGGGTACGGGTTCCTTTTGTACTTCTCTGTGTAAGTTATGTGGCTGGTAGGACTCAGGTGTGTGCGTATTGCCTTTTCCTTTCCTTAAGCAGCTCCGACACGTGCTTTGCTGTAGGCTCCCAGAGAGAGTCAGAGTCTGGAGTCTTATAGCCACCTTAATGTATCCACTCTGCTTGCTCTCTGGCTTTTAGGTGACTGTCCAAATCTGTGGCTCTTGTGTGCCTAGGTTCTATTAATACTTCCTTCTTGTAGGTGATAATTCTTCATGCTTCCCTGTGCCAACAACTGCCTTCATTGACATTGTCACTACCTACATAGACCATAGACTTGCTTGGGAATTCTCCTGTAATACTTAGTTTTACTGTCCTGTGGGCTGTCAGGTGCTTAGTTGTCCTGAGCTAGTGTTTACTGTTCATCTCTGCTGCCCTTCCCTTTGTACTTACATCATCAGTCAGTCCCATGTATTTGGTCATCTTGGGGATGGGATGGAGAGTCCTCGCTGTTTCACAAGATGTGTTTCAATTCAGGCTGATCATGATAGGCGCAGAGGGAGCCTGTCCCTCAAAAGTGCCATGCCGGGGGAGGGCATGACTTCGGGGGTCTACTGAAATCATACCAGAAACCATTTATATTTGCTGAGTATTTTCATGGCAATATGAGTAGGCACACAGTATCTTTTTGTCTCCTTTGTTGAGAGTTTCACACTTGTCAGTTCTGTACCTTTTTACGTCTACTGTGATAATCACCCGAGGACTAATACTCACATCTCTGGACTCCACCTCACACCCATTGTTCTTGTGCTTTTATCTGCAGTTGTCTCTGATACTGGTGTATCGATTATTATTATTATTTTTTTGAAGTGGGGTCTCGCTCTGTAGCCCGGGCTGGAGTACAGTGGCACAATCTCGGCTTTACTACAGCCTCCGCCTCCTCGGTCTCGGTTCAAGCAATTCTCCTACCCGCCTCCCAAGTAGCTGGGATTACAGGCACGAGCCACCATCCCCAGCTAATTTTTGTATTTTTTTTAAAATAGGGACGGGGTTTCCCCAGGTTGGCCAGTCTGGTCTAGAACTCCTGACCTTGTGATCTGCCTGCCTCGGCCTCCCAGAGTGCTGGGATTACAGGCGTGAGCCACCGTGCCCCGCCTGGTGTATTGATTATTATTAGGAAGTGTATGCTTATTGTTAAGCCATCCATGACCTCCCCCTGCTGTGTGTACTCATGTTTTCTTGGACTTAGACATACACTGCTATATAGCACTCACATGTCATCAGGAGATAAGGTCCTGTACACAACTTCATTTTAGAGGAAAGAGCTCTAGACCCTGCCACTACTCCCTGTGTTGCGTGTATGTTTGTGCTCTTTATCTCATGAGGCCTCCTGCATTCTCTGATCTTTATAGTCCAGTAATGCTAAGCAGCAGACCCATCTTTTTTTTTTTTTTTTTTTCTTTTTTTTGAAGTGGAGTCTCGCTCTGTTGCCCAGGCTGGAGTACAGTGTCCTGATCTCCACTCACTGCAAAGTCCTTCTCCTGGCTTCAAGTGATATTCCTGCCTCAGCCTCCCGAATAGCTTTGATTCTTGGCGCCCACCACCACGTCCAGATAATTTTTGTGTTTTTAGTAGAGATGGGGTTTTGCCACGTTGGCCAGGCTGATTTTGAACTCGTGATCTACCCACCTAGGCCTCCCAAAGTGCTAGGATTACAGGCGTGAGCCACTGTGTCCGGCCTTTTTTTTTTCTTTCTTTCTTTTTTTTTTGACAGATTTTGACTCTTGTGTCCAGGCTGGAGTGCAATGGCGTGTTCTTGGCTCACTGCAAACTCCACTTCCTGGCTTCAAGTGATTCTTCTGCCTCAGCCTTCCAGGTAGCTGGGATTACAAGTTCCCGCCACCATGCCCTGCTAATTTTTGTATTTTTAGTAAAGTCGGGAATTTACCATGTTGTTGGTCAGGCTGGTCTCAAACTTCTGACCTCAGGTAATCCACCCGCCTCAGTCTCCCAAAGTGCTGTAATTACACGCATGAGCCACTGTGCCCAACCTGCAGCCTAATCTTTAACCTGAAGCCAGTGTTCTATTTCTGCAAATATTTCTATAGATAATTAATTCCTTAATTTGTGATATATATTTGTGAGTGGGCAGTGCCTTCCCATCAGAGGTACTTTAAACTTGACCAGGATTTCCTTGCTTTCAGGTTGTTGGTGTGGATTAAAAGATGAGGCAGCACTGTCTAAGCAGAGCATTACTGTACAAACAGAGTCTCAGGACAGAACTCCTAGGGCTGTTTCTCCTAAGAAGGCTCACTCCTGTGACATGGGTGGCCTCATCGTGGGGGACGTTTTTCACTGTGCCGACCACCAGGAAACTCATCGCAAGCAGAAACTGAACAGGAGTAGGGCATGTGGGCAAAACTTGGATAACACTGCAAACCTTCATCAGCAGCAGAAGCAGCATATTGGAGAGAAATTCTGTAGGAGGAGTGTCGGAGAAGCATCGTTTGTAAAGAAATCTAAATTCATGGTGTCACAGGAGTCATTTATCTCCTGTTACTTTGGGAAGGACGTTCTCCCCAGTTCAGGATCATGCCAGGAAGAAGCCACTTACCCTGTAAAGAAGACAAACAGTGAAACTAAGCATGGCTCACGCTTTCAGGAGGGAAAAACTAACTACAGGTGTGGAGAACGCACAAAAGTCTTCAGCACCAAACACTCACTTATTCCATACCAGAAACTTTTCACTAGAGACGGATGTTATACGTGCAGTGATTGTGGGAAATCCTTTAGCAAATATGACAGCTTCAGTAATCATCAGCGAGTTCACACAGGAAAAGGACCTTATGAGTGTGGAGAATGTGGGAAATCTTTTAGTCAAAAGGGCCACCTCACCCAACATCAGCGATTTCACACTGGAGACACAACTTATCACTGTGGGGAGTGTGGGAAATCTTTTAGTCGGAAGCGCAACCTTAGGCAACATCAGCGTGTTCACACTGGTAAAAAGCCTTATGAGTGTGAAGAATGTGGGAAATCTTTTGGTCGAAAGGGCAACCTCATTCAACATCAGCGAGGTCACACGGGAGAAAGGCCTTATGGGTGCAGGGAATGTGGGAAATCATTTCGGTACAGATCCCACCTCACTGAACACCAGAGACTTCACACTGGGGAAAGACCTTACAGTTGCAGGGAATGTGGGAAATTATTTAACAGAAAGAGTCATCTTCTTGTTCACGAGAGAGTTCACACAGGAGAAAGGCCATATGAGTGTGACGTATGTGGGAAATTATTTGGCAATAAGAGCTGCATGACTATACATCGGAGAGTTCACACTGGAGAAAGGCCATATGAATGCAGTGAATGTGGGAAATCATTTCCTAACAACTCTGCGCTTCATTGTCATAAAAGAGTTCACACTGGAGAAAAGCCTTATAAGTGCAGTGAATGTGGAAAATCCTTTACTGAAAGTTCCAGTCTCACTAAACACAGGAGAGTTCACACTGGAGAAAGGCCTTATGAATGCACCAAATGTGGAAAGACATTTCATCGAAGCTCTGCCCTTCTTCAACATGAGAGAGTTCACACAGGAGAAACACCTTATGAGTGAGTCAGTGTGGGAAATCCTTTGCTGAAACCTCCGGTCTCATTAAACACAGGAGAGTTCATACTGGACATAGGCCTTAAGAGTGCTGTCAATGTGGAAAACATCAGAATGTCAGCTCTCCTTGGTCTTACGAGACTTCACGTTGAGGCAGTCTTGCTCTGTCACCAAGGCTAGAGTACAGTGGTGTGATCTTGGCTCATTGCAACCTCTGCCTCCTGGGTTCAAGTGATTCTCCTGCACCAGCCTTCTGAGTAGCTGGGATTATGGATACACACCACCATGCCTGGATAATTTTTGTATTTTTCGTGGAGACGGTGTTTTAGCATGTTGGCCAGGCTGATCTCTCTTTTTTTTTTTTTTTTTTTTTTTTTGAGACGGAGTTTCGCTGTTGTTAGCCACGCTGGAGTGCAATGGCGCAATCTCGGCTCACCGCAACCTCCACCTCCAGGGTTCAGGCAATTCTCCTGCCTCAGCCTCCTGAGTAGCTGGGATTACAGGCACGCGCCACCATGCCCAGCTAATTTTTTGTATTTTTAGTAGAGACCGGGTTTCACCATGTTGACCGGGATGATCTCGATCTCTTGACCTCGTGATCCACCCGCCTCGGCCTCCCAAAGTGCTGGGATTACAGGCTTGAACCACCGCGCCCGGCGCCAGGCTGATTTCTTAACTCCTGACCTCTAGTGATCTACCTGCCTTGGCCTCCCAAAGTGCTGGGATTATGGGTATGAGCCTGTGCACCCAGCCTTAATTTTTCTTGTATTGCCTAGAATATGACATGCTCAACCAGACATGGCGGCTTTTGCTTGTAATTCCGATGCTTTGGGCGGACAAGGTGGATCACCTTGGAGTTACCGGCCTAGGCAGCATAGCCAGACCTCTTCTCTCCAAAAAAGAAAAAAGGATAACATGCTGTGAAAACGTACCTGTGTATCATTTATCTGTTGCAATGTATTTCAGTTGTTTCTTGTTTTTGTCTGTTGTAAATAAAATTACATTTGAATGTGGTGGTGCGTATAGGTATGTTTCACTATGTTAACATGGTGGTATGCAGTGCCTGAGTCACATGATAGGTCAATGTACAGGTTTTTTATTTGGAGACAGTGTCTCGATCTGTCACTAGGCTGGAGTGCAGTGCACGATCATGGCTCACTGCAACCAACATCAGGTGATCGACTCACCTCGGCCTCCCAAAGTGCGGGGATTACAGGCATGAGCCACTGCGCCTGGCCAGGTTTGTTTTTTAAAATGAATTTTGTCTATTTCTTATTTCATTAAGAAATTTCAAAACAATGAAATAAGAGCCGGGTGTGGTGGCTCACACCTGTAATCCCAGCAATTTCAGAGGCTGAGGCAGGCGGATCACGAGGTCAAGAGATTGAAACCATCCTGGCCAACATAGTGAAACCCCATCTCTACTAAAAAATACAAAAATTAGCTGGGCATGGTGGTACGCACCTGTAGTCCCAGCTACTCGGGAGTCTGAGGCAGGAGAATTGCTTGAACCCTGGAAGCAGAGGTTGCAGTGAGCCGAGATTGCGTCACTGCACTCCAGCCTGACGCCTGGAGGCAGAGCGAGACTCTGCCTCAAAAAAAAGAAGAAGAAGAAGAAGAAGAAAGGCTTAACGTTGGACCTCATTCATTCTTCAGTGACACCAGTTTGCTGTAAGGAATACTTATTTATTTATTTATTTTTTGCGATGGAGTGTTACTCTCTCTCCCATACTACAGTGAAGTTGCATGATCTCAGCTTACTGCAACCTTCACCTCCTGGGTTCAAGCTTTTCTGCCTCAGCCTTTCGAGTAGCTGGGACTACAGGTATGTGCCACTATACCTGGCTAATTTATTTATTTTAGTAGTGATGGTGTTTCACCATGTCGCCCAGACTGGTCTCTAGCTCCTGAGCTCAAGTGATCCACCCGCTTTGGCCTCGCAAAGTGCTGGGATTACAGGTGTGAGCCACTGTGCCTGGCTGAATACTTGTTTTTCAGTACCACAAGTGCTATGAGCTGGTTATCCACTTCATGTGGAATAAATGTCCCAAAGTGACAATATGTATACATTGCCAGGCAATTAAATAATTATTATGCCACCATAGCTTTGTTTCTATTTCATCTTTCTTTTTCTTTTTCTTTTTCTTTTTTTTTTTTTTTGAGATGGAGTTTCACCCTCGTTGCTATTCTGAAGTGCAATGGCATGATTTTGGCTCTCTGCAACCTCTACTTCTTGGGTTCAAGAAGTTCTCCTGCCTCTGCCTCCTGAGTAGCTGGGATTATAGGCATGTGCCACCACGCCTGGCTAATTTTGTATTTTTAGTAGAGATGGGGTTTCTCCATGTTGGTCAGTGTGGCCTTAACCTCCTGACCTCAGGTAATCTGCCCACCTTGGCTTCCCAAAGTGCTGGTATAACAGCATGAGCCACCACGCCTGGCTTCTATTTGACATCTTTCTAAGATTACCTATTTCTTTTCTTCCAAGTTTGTATTTCTCAGAGTTCTCCAGTATGGAAAGGATACACAGTTTGTATAAAGAATTTTATGTTATCCAAGTTCTAGGATAGCCATGGGCTCCAATTAATTATCTCAGAGCTTACCGTTCCTCTACTCACTACCCATTGAGATTTATATATACTGAGGCTTTTGTCTTCTAGCTACTTACGGCATTCTCAGTGGGTAACATCATTCATCCACATTATTAACTAATTTCCTCACTCCAAGATATTTTCCAGTGATAATCTCCAGGCCCTGTGCAGACACTGTCATTGCACTTTCTGCTGAAACAAGTGTTCCTTCCCAGCAAGAAGGTGAGATTGTGGAATCTAGAACGTTTTCTCAGGGTCACATGTCCCTTTCTCCACTTGCAGGGATGCCAACACTGCAGCCATGCTTTTGGCAGTAAATAATATTGTTAAGTAACCACTGTTTCCAGGTGAATGTCCCAATCAGAAGAAAATTATCTGGGACCACTGATACAGGGAGATGGGACATTTTGAGGGAGCTGGAGGCAGGGTGCACCTCAGTTTCCCTGAAGGCTGCCTAGAATCTGTTTCCTTTTATTCTGAATTATTTTTCTTCTCATGGCTGACCAAAAACATGGTGCCTCACAAAGTCCATTGTAAGAGCTTTATCTGGTTTTTTTTTGGTTGTTTTTTTTTTGTTTTTTTTGAGACGGAGTTTCATTCTTTGCCCAGGCTGGAGTACAATGGCAGGATCTTGGCTCACTTCAATCTCTGACTCCTGGGTTCAAGCAATTCTGCCTCAGCCTCCCGAGTAGCTGGGATTACAGATGTCTGCCACCACACCTCAATATATATATTTTTTAATGTTTAGTAGAGATGGCGTTTCACTATGTTGGCCAGGCTGATCGTGCACTCCTGACTTCAGGTGATCAGCTTACCTCAGTTTACCTCAGCTTCCCAAAATGCTGGGATTACAGCCATGAGCCACCATGCTCTGCCTTTTTTTTTTTTTTTTCAGACAGAGTTTCACTGTCACCCAGGGCAGAGTGCAGCGGTGTGATCTCGGCTCACTGCACTCCACCTTCCAGGTTCAAGTGTTCTCCTGCGTCAGCCTCCCAAGTAGCTGAGATTACAGGTGGCTGCCATCACGCCCAACTAATTTTTGTTTTTTGAAAAGACATAGTTTCACTATGTTGGCCAGGTTGGTCTTGAACTCCTGACCTCAAGTGATCCACCCCCTCAGCCTCCCAAAGTGATGGAATTACAGACGTGAGCCACCACACCTAGCCTTCTAAAAATTTTTTCATAGAGGTTTTGCCATGTTGCTCAGGCTGGTCTTGAACTCCTGAGCTCAAGTGATCCTCCGGCGTCATCCTCCCAAAGTGCTGAAATTACTGGTAGGGACCACCATGCCTGGCCAGTATTTTCAGGAAATCAAAATCTCAATTTGAGGACAAAACCCAGGGTGATCATTTTAATCATGTTTTGCTCTGAATTCCACTTTTTCTTATATTTCTTTTTTGAGATGGAGTCTCGCTCTGTCTCCAGGCTGGTGTGCAGTGGTGCAATCTGGACTCACTGCAACCTCCACCTCCCGGGTTCTAGTGATTCTCCTGCCTGAGCCTCCTGAGTAGCTGGGATTATAGGCACCTGTCACCACGTCCAGCTAATTTTTATATTTTTAGTAGAGGTGGGATTTCACCATGTTGTCCAGGATCGTCTAAATCTCTTTTTTTTTTTGAGACGGAGTTTCACTCTTGTTACCCAAGCTGGAGTTCAATGGCGCGATCTCGGCTCACTGCAACCTCCGCCTCCTGGGTTCAAGCAATTCTCCTGCCTCAGCCTCCCGAGTAGCTGGGACTACAGGCGTGCGCCACCATGCCCAGCTACTCTTTGTATTTTTAGTAGAGACGGGGTTTCACCATGTTGACCAGAATGGTCTCGATCTCTTGACCTCATGATCCATCTGCTTCGGCCTCCCAAAGTGCTGGGATTACAAGCGTGAGCCACTGCGCCCAGCCTAGGGTCTCAATCTCTTGATCTCCTGATCTGCCCACCTTATATTTCTTTTAACTTATTTTTTCATGGGTCCTTTTCAATGGTCTAATTCCATTTTTATTGTTGGTGGTGTTTAAACGCCACTGCTAAAGCTTCTCTGAGGTATTAAATTTTTTTCACTATCCACTGATATTTCAGCAGAGGTATTTCTGACAGCACCTTTGAACATATATAGAATACATAGGCTTTCTTTTTCTTTCTTTTTTTCTGTTTTGAGAAAAGCTGGCATAAAGCACCTTTATTTATTATTATTATTATTATTTTAAGGCTGGTCAAGTGAACAGTGGAAGTGGAGAATGAACAAAGAAATGTATAACTAGTTGTGATCAGTTAGTTGTAAACACCACTGCACTCGGACCAGCCGACCAGCATCATTTTCTTAAGAGAACATTCAAGGATTTGTCATGATGGGTGGGCTTTCATTGGGTGTTAATTCTAAAAACAGCACCTTCAATTTAAACTGTCAATTGCCGCGCGATGGCTCAAGCCTGTAATCCCAGCACTTTGGGAGGCCGAGGCGGGTGGATCACGAGGTCAAGAGATCGAGACCATCCTGGTCAACATGGTGAAACCCCGTGTCTACAGAAAATACAAAAATTAGCTGGGCATGGTGGCGCGTGGTTGTAATCCCAGCTACTCAGGAGGCTGAGGCAGGAGAATTGCCTGAACCCAGGAGGCGGAGGTTGTGGTGAGCCGAGATCGCGCCATTGCACTCCAGCCTGGGTAACAAGAGCGAAACTCCGTCTCAAAAAAATAAAAAATAAAATTAAATAATAATAATAATAATAATTTAGCCGAGCATAGTGCCTCGCCTGTAATCCCAGAATTTTGGGAAGCTGAGACTGGCAGATCACCTGAGGTCAGGAGTTCCAGAACAGCCTGAGCAACGTGGAGAAACCCCGTCTCTACTAAAAATACAAAATTAGCCCAGCATGGCGAATGCCTGTAATCCCAGCTACTCATGAGGCTGAGGCAAGAGAATTGCTTTAAACCGGTAGGCAGAGGTTGCAGTGAGGCAAGATCGTGCCACTGCACTCCAGCCTGGGCAACAAGAGGAAAAGTCTCAAAATAATAATTCAACATACTCCAGTGTCTTCAGAGGGAGAGCTCTACCTTTGAATACTACCACCACTACTAATAACAAACTATTTAATTGTTCTTTTTTTTTTTTTTGAGACGGAGTTTTGCTGTTGTTACCCAGACTGGAGTGCAATGGCACGATCTTGGCTCACCGCAACCTCCGCCTCCTGGGTTTAAGCAATTCTCCTGCCTCAGCCTCCCAAGTAGCTGGGACTACAGGTGCACGCCACCATGCCCAGCTGATTTTTGTATTTTTAGTTGAGACATGGCTTCGCCTTTTTAAAATTTTTTATTTATTTATTTTTTTTATAAAGATGGGATTTCACCATGATGGCCAGGCTGGTCTTGAACTCCTGACCTCAGGTTTTCCACCCACCTCGGCCTCCCAAAGGGCTAGGATTACAGGCGTGAGCCACCGCGCCTGGCTTAATTGTTCTTTTTGTGAGACTGATGCATAATTCCTAAAAGAGACTATATATAAGTTAGAATATGAAGTGACCAATATCAAGTCGATAAAAGTTTTACTCAAGGAATTGGGCACAAGAATTGATGATACATGCAGGAGAGTTGTTTTCTGTGGGAACCACAGAGATGTAGGGTTTTTTTTTTCTTTTTGTTGTTTTTATTTTTTTTTTGAGACGGAGTTTGGCTCATGTTACCCAGGCTGGAGTGCAATGGCGCCATCTCTGCTTACCGCAACCTCCGCCTCCTGGGTTCAAGCAATTCTCCTGCCTCAGCCTCCTGAGTAGCTGGGATTACAGGCACTCGCCACCATGCCCAGCTAATTTTTGTATTTGTAGTAGAGTTGGGGTTTCACCATGTTGACCAGGATGGTCTCGATCTCTTGACCTTGTGATCCACCCACCTAGGCCTCCCAGAGTGCTGGGATTACAGGCTTGAGCCACCGCGCCGAGCCTGTTGTTTGTTTTTTAGACAGAGTCTCATTCTTGTTGCCCAGGCTGGAGTGCAGTGGCACGATCTTGGCTCACTGCAACCTCTGCCTCCCAGGTTCAAGTCATTCTCCTGCCTCAGCCTCCTGAGCAGCTGGGATTAGAGGCACACATCACCAAGCCCAGCTAATTTTTTGTAATTTTAGTAGAAATGGGTTATTAACGATAACTAATTAATAAAATTTTTAAAAATTAAAAAAGACACCCGTTTCACTATGTTGGCCAGGCTGGTCTCAAACTCCTGACCTCAGGCGATCCACCTGCCTGGGTCTCTCAAATGCTAGGATTACAGTTATGAGTCACCACACCCGGCCAGTGCGATGTAGTTTTCTGATTCTGCTTTATGGGGGCATAACTTTCCTCTATCTTCTGTAAGCTGAAAAGAATCTGAGACAGGTCTCAGTCAGTTTAGAGGTTATTTTGCCAAGGTTGAGGATGTTACAGGGGAAAAAAGAGACACAAGTTACAGTAAGATCTGTGGCCTGTACTTTTTCCAAAGAGAGTTTTGAGGACTTCATTCAAAGAGGAAAGTGAGTAGCAGGGGAAAGGGGAAGAAAAAAAGGAGGGGGAAGGGTAGACAATGAGACGAGTAGTTACATTCTTTTGAGTCTTTGATTATTGCTCACTGAATCTTTGTTTTTTGTTTGTTTATTTGTTTTGTTTTAGAGGCGGAGACTTGCTCTGTTACCAGGCTGGAGTATGGTGGCTCGATTTCGGCTCACTGCAATCTCTGCCTCCCGGGTTCAAGCAGTTCCCCTGCCTCAGCCTCCCAAGTAGCTGGGACTGCAGGCACATCCCAACACGCCTGGCTAATTTTTGTATTTTTTTTTTTTTTTTTTTGCAGATGAGCAATATGTCTATTTCAAACAAACCCAAAGAAATATGTAAAGTTCTTTTCAGAAGGAAACCATTTCCAATTAAACTTAAAATTTCTATTTTTTTTTTTTTTTTTTTTTGAGAGGGAGTTTCGCTCTCGTTACCCCAGGCTGGAGTGCAATGGCGCGATCTCGGCTCACTGCAACCTCCGCCTCCTGGGTTCAGGCAATTCTCCTGCCTCAGCCTCCTGAGTAGCTGGGATTACAGGCACGCGCCACCATGCCCAGCTAATTTTTTGTATTTTTAGTAGAGACGGGGTTTCACCATGTTGACCGGGATGGTCTCGATCTCTTGACCTCGTGATCCACCTGCCTCGGCCTCCCAAAGTGCTGGGATTACAGGCTGAGCCACCGCGCCCGGCCCAAAATTTCTATTAATATTTAAATTATAAACCAAAGTTTGGCAATCCAAGAATAGATATGTTTGCTATGGAGAAACCAAGACTGTGAGGTCATAGGTTCAAATACAACTTCGGAATTAGTCACAAAAAAATCCATATATTTTCTCAGAAACGGTACCATTTCCTTTGGTTTACAATTCGTGCTACGGGAAGTTTAATACAGTATTAAGTAACATATCATTTACCCTAAAAAAGGTTAGAGAAAACTGGATGACTATTACGACTGAATAATAACAAGGCTTCAGTGGCTTCATTTTCTTATGATTATACAAACATGTAAATTTGAAAAGGTAATGCCGTGTAGTGAAATCCATAAAAATAACAGTTTTGCCGCAGTGCACAGAAAAGTTCACTGATTCCCCCTGCCGTCGCCAAGCAGCTCTGATTCGAGTTGGAAGACCCAGGCCGGGCGCGGTGCTGGCCCTGTGGTTTCAGCTACTGGGGAGGCTAAGGCGGGGTGGGGGAGATCACTTGAGCCCCGGAGTTCCCGGCCAGTTCCTGGGTCACATAGCAAGACCCCCGTCTCTCTCTCCTTTTTTAATTGGAAGACGTAAAACGTCTACACAGTCTACACGGAATCATGAATATACTAAGGAGAGTCTGTGCACGGTAAAATTTAAAACTCCGCACTCCAGCATCACAGACGTCCATGAGCACCACCTGCAGCGCCCTGCACACTGGAGGTGAGCCCCCGGCTGGGGTCCTTTGGCCGCAGCGGTCAGGCGTCCGAGCTGAGGCATCTCACTGCAAGGGAAGTAGTCTTCGGTCCGAAACAGGACGGGGGCTTCGTAGCCGGCTCGCTGCGGCCTCGAGGAAGACGACTTGCTAAAGAGCGAGGACACGCTCATCGTGTGCAGGAGCTTCTTGAACGCCCTGGGGAAGGCGCCCAGCTCGGCCTCGGCCTGGGTGACCTGCTCCTCCATCCTGGCCACGCGGCCGCCCACCATCCTCACGAAGGCCTCCAGCCGGTCGATCCGGCTGTAGATGCGCCGCATCTCGGCGGCCTCGGCGTGGATGCGCGGCACTCCCTCGCGGACGACGTGGGACGAGTCGCCGCGAAGCATGTCCGGCATGCCCACGAACTCGTCCACTCTGGTGAGCAGGTCCTCCAGGCTCGCGTCCAGGGCCTCGACCTCGGGCCGCGCGCCGGCTCCGGGCAGCAGGCAGGCGGCATCCCCCGGCGCGCCGTCCTCCGCCCTCGTCCTCCCACGGCCCGAGGCGCTGCTGTGGCTTTGGGACACGGTGCCGCTGTCCCCGCTCCAGGCGCGCTGCGGCTCGGCCTCTTCCTCTGGTCCCTCGGGCGAGCGACCCTCCGTGGCCCGCGACCGCCCGGCTGCGCAGCGCCGGCCTAATTTTTGTATTTTTAGCAGAGACGGTTTCACCATGTTGCCCAGAAAGGCCAAGCTCTCTTGACCTTGTGATCCACCGGCATAGGCCTCCCAAAGTGCTGGGATTACAGGCATGAGCCACCCCTGCTGCCTGAATCCACCTTTTATAAATTAAAGGAGGAGGTGAAAGAATAATTACGCATTTCCTTTGGCATTAGTAGATCTACGTTTTACATAAGATAAAGTAAAGGTAGCATAGAGTAAGAAGTTAAATATGCCTTTGCTTTGGGGCGGGCCCAGGGATAATTTCTCGTCTTGTCTCTGTCCAATGCAAGTGAAGAAGATAAGCTGTTACATTTACATTGTCAGGGGAGATTCAACAGAAATATTTTACAGTTAGTTTATAGGGGACTACCTATCCTAAGAGTTTGGGACCTCGTGAGCAATTTTTGAGGGAGGGCACCAGGGGCGATATGTGGCCTTCTCTAATTTCAGCCATTTGTGTGGAAAAAGGCAGTTTTTTTTTTTGTTTTGTTTTGTTTTTTTCTGGCTGAGTTCACAAATTTAACTTTTCCTTTGGCCTTGTGAGTTTGGGGGTGCCAAGATTTTATTTCCCTTTCACACTTCTTATTATGACCCTATCTGAGTAGTTCTCCATTGTTCCTGAGAAACAGGGACTGAGAAAACCGACTCTAATCCTTCAGAGTGTGATTGAAACTGTCTATGCGGCCAGGTGTGGTGGCTCATGCCTGTAATCCAAGCACTTTGGAGGCCAAGGCGGGCAGATCACCTGAGGTCGGGAGTTCAAGACCAGCCTGACCAACATGGTGAAACCCTGTCTTAAAAAAAAAAGAAAGAAAGAAATTGTCTTTGCAAATATTCTAACGGTAAGAAAATGGGGCCGGGCGCGTTGGCTCAAGCCTGTAATCCCAGCACTTTGGGAGGCCGAGGCGGGTGGATCACGAGGTGGAGAGATCGAGACCATCCTGGTCAACATGGTGAAACCCCGTCTCTACTAAAAATAGAAAAAATTAGCTGGGCATGGTGGCATGTGCCTGTAATCCCAGCTACTCAGGAGGCTGAGGCAGGAGAATTGCCTGAACCCAGGAGGCGGAGGTTGCGGTGAGCCGAGATCGCGCCATTGCACTCCAGCCTGGGCAACAAGAGTGAAACTCCATCTCAAAAAAAAAAAAAAAAAAGAAAGAAAATGATTGTTCATTCCTGGATGTAGGGTGAATTAACTTTGGTAGAAACTTAGTTTTTAGTTTAACTTTGAAACAAAGATGATAATGTCAGGAACGACGTTCGAACCAGAGCAACTCCATCTTGAGTCATGGCTAGGAAAAATGAAGCTGGGATTTCCTGGGCTGCATTCCCAGAAAGTTAGGTATTCCTAGACTCTAGATGTTTCTGGTTAAGGGAACAGACTGAAAACGTTTACTAAATGGGCCCAGACTTGAGTGTCCTGATATTCGGTCATCTTAAGAACAGAAGCATTCCTAATTTTGTTTTAAAGATAATAATAGGCCAGGCCAGGTACAGTGGCTGATGCTTGTAATTCCAGCACTTTGGGAGGCCAGGGCAGGTGAATCACGAGGTTAGGAGTTCAAGACCAGTCTGGCCAAGATGGTGAAACCCTGTCTCTACTAAAAAAATACAAAAATTAACCAGGTGTGGTGGCTGGTGCCTGTAATCCCAGCTACTCAGGAGGCTGAGGCAGAAGAATCGCTTGAATCAGGGAGGTGGGGGTTGCCGTGAGCCGAGATCATGGCACTGTATCCAACCTGGGCTACGGAGCAAGACTCTCTGTTAAAAAAAAAAAAAAAAAAAAAAAAAAAAAAAAAGGGAATAATAGGCCAAGCACAGTGGCTCACATCCACAATCCAAGCACTATGGGAGACCAAGGCAGGGAGACAGATCATGAGTTCAGGAGTTTGAAACTAGCCTGACCAACATGGTGAAATCCCGTCTCTACTAAAAATTTAAAAATGGGCCAGGTGTGGTGGCTCATGCCTGTAATCCAGGCACTTTGGAGGCCAAGGCAGGCTGATCACCTGAGGTCGGGAGTTCAAGACCAGGCTGACCAACATGGTGAAACCTCGTCTTAAAAAATAAATAAATAGAGGCTGGGCGCGGTGGCTCAAGCCTGTAATCCCAGCACTTTGGGAGGCCGAGGCGGGTGGATCACAAGGTCAAGAGATCGAGACCAACCTGGTCAACATGGTGAAACCCCGTCTCTACTAAAAATACAAAGAATTAGCTGGGCATGGTGGCACGTGCCTATAATCCCAGCTACTCAGGAGGCTGAGGCAGGAGAATTGCCTGAACCCAGGAGGCGGAGGTTGCGGTGAGCCGAGATCGCGCCATTGCACTCCAGCCTGGGTAATGAGAGCAAAACTCCGTCTCAAAAAAAAAAAAAAAAAAAAAAAAAGTTAAAAAGTTAAAGATGGGGTTTCACCATGATGGCCAGGCTGGCCTTGAATTCTTCCTGATCCTCTCGCCTCGGCCCCCCAAAGTGCTAGGATTACAGGCGTGAGCTGGCCCTTATTTTTGTTTGTTCTTAGAGAACAGGTGTCGCTTTGTTGCCCAGGCTGGAGTGCCGGTGGGACGATCTCGGCTCACCGCAGCTTCAAACTCCTGAGCTCAAGCGATCCTCCCGGCTCAGGCTCCCTAACCACGGCAGCTCTGACCACAGGCCCGGCCAACCACACTGCACTAATATGTTTTATTTTTTGTAGAGACAGAATTTTCCTTTGTTGCTTATGCTCATCTCTAACTCCTGGCCTCAAATGACCCTTCTGATTTGGCCTCCCATACTGCTGGAATTACAGGCGTGAGCCACCACGCCGGTCAGGATGCGCCTCTTTTTTTCTTTTCTTTTTTTTTTTTTTTATTTGAGACGAGTTTCGCTCTTGTTACCCAGGCTGGAGTGCAATGGCGCGATCTCGGCTCACCGCAACCTCCGCCTCCTGGGTTCAGGCAATTCTCCTGCCTCAGCCTCCTGAGTAGCTGGGATTACAGGCACGTGCCACCATGCCCAGCTAATTTTTAGTATTTTTAGTAGAGACGGGGTTTCACCATGTTCACCAGGATGGTCTCGATCTCTTGACCTCGTGATCCACCCGCCTCGGCTTCCCAAAGTGCTGGGATTACAGGCTTGAGCCATCGCGCCCGGCCAGGATGCGCCTGTTACGGACACTCCTGAGGCGGAGCTGTTCCTTGCCCTCCTTGTTACCTAGAGAACTACATTACCCAGCAAACTCCGCGTCGAATGACGGCGTGGAAGCGCCCGGAGAGCGCAGAAGAAAGGCGTTTCCTGTGTGCACCTGACAATCGGTCCGGACTTCCGGCGCCCTCTAGTGGCGGCCATTTTGATTTGTGTCGGTTGTGTTAGTCTGTGAGGGGCTCCTGAGCGCTGGGTCGGGTCTGCGGTGACTGAACTCAGAAGGCGGGGAGCAGTTGTCTTCCGCTGCACAGAGGCAAATCCCCAGCTCTGCGACGGCGCCCAGCGTGACCCACTCCTGGGCCAGGATAGGGACCAACGTGGCCGTGTCTCTCGGCTGGTTGCGGTGTCTTCCCGACCCTACTTAAAACCACGTGGTTCGATGGCGGCGGCCACGCTGAAGCTCTCGGCTCAGGTAATTGTGGCGCCTTCCGTGCCTCAGAACACCTCACCCTCACCCCAAAGCAGCGAGGGAACGGCGCCTGCTCTCGGCTCTGCAGCCGGGTCGCAGGCTTCGGGACACAGGCGCTCGCGGGAGGGGCCCCATTTCTGACACCGCGGGATAAGGTGGGGAGAGCGACAGACACAGGGACCGGCTCGGGCAATGGCCTGGGGGTGGACTGACCTGGAAGCGTGGAATCTGGGGAGCAAATTGTGAGGCAGAGCTCCTCCTGGAAGAGCAAGCAGCCTGGGGACTGTGCACGCATCGTGGGGACGCTAGAAGCCATGGAGAGTTTCAAAGAAAAGGATATTATGAGCATTGCAAGGGTAGAGATAATCAGGTCCACGCATGTTTGTGTCTTTCCGCAGTGTCAAGTGTTTACTGACGTTATGTGAGTCAACAAAAGCCATGAGCTAAATGGAGTTCCAAGGAGGCAGTTCTCTTTAGTGATTCCAGTTCTCTCGGAAGTCAGGGTCATGGGCACAGAGGCTCAAGACCCTCCACAAGTCAGTCATTATAGCAAACCATACACAATAGTATACTTAACATATAAATATTGTAGGTTAAACTTTCCACAACAAATAATATTTAGCATCAAGAGGGAAAAGAGAGGCCGGGCGCGGTGGCTCAAGCCTGTAATCCCAGCACTTTGGGAGGCCGAGGCAGGTGGATCACGAGGTCGAGAGATCGAGACCATCCTGGTCAACACGGTGAAACCCCGTCTCTACTAAAAATACAAAAAAAATTAGCTGGCATGGTGGCGCATGCCTATAATCCCAGCTACTCAGGAGGCTGAGGCAGGAGAATTGCTTGAACCCAGGAGGCGGAGGTTGCGGTGAGCCGAGATCGCACCATTGCACTCCAGCCTGGGTAACAAGAGCGAAACTCCGTCTCCAAAAAAAAAAAAAAGGGAAAAGAGATAGGAACAAAGGTTGAGGAACCAGTTCAGAGGGAGCAAAGAAAGCATTCTGGTCTGGGCCAGCTGGTGGGCGATTGGACTGTAGTCTTGAAAGGAAGAGTCTGAGGTGGCAGAGCCTTAGGCAGCAGATACTGATTTTTTTATCAGTGATTGTCAGGACAGCCCTTTTGAGCTGCTGAAGGCCCAATCTTTTTTTTTTTTTTTTTTTTTTCCAGACATTCTCACTCTGTCACCCAGGCTAGAGTGTAGCGGCATGATCCTTGCTCATTGCAATCTCCGCCTCCCAGGTTTAAGCTATTCTTGTGCCTCAGTCTCCCAAGTAGCTAGGATTACAGGTGCCTCCCACGATGCCCGACTAATTTTCGTATTTTTAATAGAGACGAGGTTTCACTATGTTGATCAGGCTGGTCTCAAACTCCTGACCTCAGGTCATCCACCTGTATCAGTCTCCCAAAGTGCTGGGATTACAGGCCTGAGCCACTGTGCCTGGCCAGCCTAATCTTTTATAGTCACAGAATCCTTTGGTTAGAACTGATAATGGAAGAATGTGCTTGTTTGTGACCTTACCTGGTTAGATCCAGTCTTTATTTATTTATTTATTTTTTGAGACGGGGAGTTTTGCTCTTGTTGCCCAGGCTGGAGCGCAATGGCGATCTCGGCTGACCACAACCTCCACCTCCTGGGCTCAAGCAATTCTCCTGCCTCAGCCTCCTCAGTCTTTTTTTTTATTTTATTTTGTGACAGAGTCTCGCTCTGTTGCCTAGGCTGGAGTGCAGTGACATGATTTCAGCTCACTGCAACCTCTGCCTCCCAGGTTCGAGTGATTCTTCTGCCTCAGCCTCCCGAGTAAGTGGGACTACAAGTGTGTGCCACTACGTTCAGCTAATTTTTTGTATTTTTAGCAGAGACGGCATTTTACCATGTTTCCCAGGCTGGTTTTGAACTCCCAAGATCAGGCAATCCACCTGCCCTGGCCTCCCAAACTGCTGGGATTATATAGGCATGAGCCACTGCACCCAGCTATATTTGTTTTTTTACTTTTTGTTTTGTTTTGTTTTTTGAGACGGGATCTTGTTTTCTTGCCCAGCTGGAGTACAATGGGACGATCTCAGCTCACTGCAACTTCTACCTCCCGGGTTCAAGCGATTCTGCTGCCTCAGCCCTGAGTGGCTGGGATTACAGGCATGTGCCACTGTGCCACCACAGCCAGCTAATTTTTGTCTTTTTAGTAGAGATGGGGTTTTACCATGTTCGCCAGGGTGGTCTCCAACTCCTGACCTCAGGTGATCGTCCACCTAGGCCTCCCAAAGTGCTGGAATTAACAGGCGTGAGCCACCATGCCCTGCATTTTGTTGTTGTTTATTAAACAAAACATCTTACCCTTGATAGCAGAGGGCCCTATGAAATACAAAGAGTCTTTTCTTAAGGTGGACTTAGTTATGTCAGGTGTACTCTATACAAGGGACAGGATCGAAGTCCGGATTTTATTTTATTTTATTTTATTTTTTTTGAGGCGGAGTTTCACTCTTGTTACCCAGGCTGGAGTGCAATGGCGCGATCTCGGCTCACCGCAACCTCCGCCTCCTGGGTTCAGGCAGTTCTCCTGCCTCAGTCTCCCGAGTAGCTGTGATTACAGGCACCCACCACCATGCCCAGCTAATTTTTTGTATTTTTAGTAGAGACGAGGTTTCACCATGTTGACCAGGATGGTCTCCATCTCTTGACCTCCTGATCCACCCGCCTCCACCCGCCTCAGCCTCCCAAAGTGCTGGGATTACAGGCTTGAGCCACCACGCCCGGCCAAAGTCCGGATTTTAAAGGTTTTCCAAAGGTAAATCAAAGGAAGAACAGAGTGGAGAGAGGTGCTGAGCCTTGGGGCCCTTGGAGGTTGAATCTTTGTTGTAGATTGCATAGGTGGTGGAGATGACATTTTACATTGATGCATGCAGGTCAGACAACCAATCGGGTCCCCTGATTCCAGGGCCAAGAAAGGGTACCTGGAGGCCTGAGCTTATCAAATCCCATCAGGGACACATTCCTGTAATGTCTGCCTCTCCTCCAGGCACTTGTGTATAGAAGCATTTAAGGAACCTAGAAAAAGATGTAGAGAGTGTTCCATTCCCTCACTGGTCCTGACCCAGACCCATATGTTCTCTAGCTTGTGGTGTCATGGGACTCTTTTTCAATATTTTCCTTTTTTTTTTTTCTTTTTTTTTTTTGAGACGGAGTTTCGCTCTTGTTACCCAGGCTGGAGTGCAATGGCACGATCTCGGCTCACCGCAACCTCCGCCTCCTGGGCTCAGGCAATTCTCCTGCCTCAGCCTCCTGAGTAGCTGGGATTACAGGCACGTGCCACCATGCCCAGCTAATTTTTTGTATTTTTAGTAGAGACGGGGTTTCACCATGTTGACCAGGATGGTCTCGATCTGTCGACCTCGTGATCCATCCATCTCGGCCTCCCAAAGTGCTGGGATTACAGGCTTGAGCCACCGCGCCCGGACTTTCAGTTTCTTTCTTAATTCTTCACTGAGTCACTGGTCATTCAGGAGCATATCGTTTAATTTCTATGTATTTGTGTAGTTTCCAAAATTCCCCTTGTTACTGATTTCTAGCTTTGTTCCATTGTGGTCAGAGACGATTCTTGGTATTTTATTTTTTTTTAATGTTTTAAGACTTGTTTTGTGACCTAAGATGTGGTCTATCCTTGCAAATCATCATGTGTTGAGGAATAGCATGTGTATGCTGTAGACCTTGGATGAAATGTTCTGTAAATATCTATTAGATCTATTGGTCTATAGTGTAGATTAAGTCTGATGTTTCTTTGTTGATTTTTTTTGTCTGGAAGGTCTGTCCAGTGCTGAACATGGGGCGTTGAATGTCCAGCTATCACTGTATTGGCATCTGTCTCTCTCTTTAGGTCGTATAATATTGCTTTATATGTATGGGTGCTTCATTGTTGGGTGTAGGTATACAATTGTTATATTCTCTTGCTGAATTGACCCCTTTATCATTTTATGGTGACCTTCTTTGTCCCTTTTTATAGTTTTTGTCTTGAAATACGTTTTTTTCTGATAAAAGTATAGCTACTCCTACTGTCTTGGTTTCCATGGGCAAGGTACATTTTTTTCCATTCCTTTATTTTCATTTTTAAAAATTTTGCGACAGAATCTGACTCTGTTGCCCAGGCTGGAGTGCAGTGGCGTGCTCTTGGTTCACTGTAACCTCTGCTTCCCAGGCAAGCCATTCTTCTTTTTTTTTTTTTTTTTTTTTTTTTTGGAGATGGAAACTTGGACTGTCACCCAGGCTGGAGTGCAGTGGCATCATCTTGGCTCACTGCAACATCTGCCTCCTAGGTTCAAGCAATTCTCTTGCCTCAGCCTCCCAAGTAGCTGGGATTACAAATGTGTCTCACCACGTCCAGCTAATTTTTATATTTTTAAAAAAGATTAAAAATTTTTTTTACTTTTATTTATTTTTACTTCTGACTATTGTATTAAAAGGATTTTTTAATTGCTTATATTTATTTATTTATTTATTTATTTATTTTTTTTGAGACGGAGTTTCGCTCTTGTTACCCAGGCTGGAGTGCAATGGCGCGATCTCGGCTCACCGCAACCTCCGCCTCCTGGGCTCAGGCAATTCTCCTGCCTCAGCCTCCTGAGTAGCTGGGATTACAGGCACGTGCCACCATGCCCAGCTAATTTTTTGTATCTTTAGTAGAGACGGGGTTTCACCATGTTGACCGGGATGGTCTCGATCTCTCGACCTCGTGATCCACCCGCCTCA